CCCAGATGCAAGACCCTACACTTTCCCCTGTTATATTTCAATAAATTTTTCCCCGCCCAACTCTCCAGCCTGTCCAGGTCTCGCTGGATGGCAGCACAGCCTTCGAGCGTGTCAGCCACTCCTCCCAGCTTGGTGTCATCAGTAAACTTGCTGATAGTACACAGAAACACCTGGCAAACCCTCCTTTCAAAGGGCGTATAATGCTGAAGCTTTTCTTTCTGAAAGCAAAGCACAGGCTGGCTGAACTAACAGACCGGAATTAGCTGTGGCAAAGACAGTCACCTCCAGGGCAAGCTGCAGCTCTGAGATACACTGCAAGACAACACCTGGGAAAAAAATACTTCAGCAACCACTTCCTAATAAAGTCTGGGCTCTCCTGCCAGAGCAGATCTCCTTCTGGAAGTCACCCTGGAGGAGAGGCAGGCTGCCCCTTCTATGGCAGCACTTCCAGTGACAGCAGTATCAAACAGCAGCTGGACATCTCTAGCTTCCTAAAAGCCAGAGAGGCACCCATCGTGTAGATGCACCTGCTGATCTGATCCCTAGTGTCACCCCAGGTCTCCTTGTTCAACTCCGGACACCAAGCAAGGATCCAAGACAAGGCGGCTTTCCGAAAGCCACACTTTCTCCTTTCCCACATTAAAAAAAAAAAGGGGAAAGGACAAGGCCAATCACTCACCTTCATCTGACAGTCCACCTTCTTGTAGGAGCTGATGAGGCGGTTGTTGTGGTACATCATGATCCCGTAGCGGTTCTTGTTCTTGCAGGTGAACCCAAAGGTGATCTTTGCTTTTTTCCTCTGAGGGAAAATACACCAAGGAAGAAATAAAACAAGGAGCTCCAATGGAGGAGACACATGAATTTTATGAGGAGGAGGGAAACCTCCTGGAGAGGCTGCAGCATTCTAGTAGCCCGCTCTGCGTTCCTCAGGACGTCACCTGCCCTCTTCCGCAGGGAAAAAGCACTTGACCTGCTGGCAAAAACCCCGCACACGCAGCCAAAAAACACAGATAAGAACACGAGTAACTGACTGAATGGGTTAAAATATGCCTCGGTTATAGCTTTAATCAAAGCCCTGATACGTGTTTATATTACCCTGATAATAGAACAGGCAAGGTCTGGCCAAAGAAAACTGCCTTGGAGTATATCACGAATGAGATAACTAAAGGCTACTGATGTTACTTGTGATTAAAAGGTAAATGTTGACAAAACCAAATTGAGCAGATCCATTCAGGACTGAAGGAATCTTATCAACCAACAATGACATTAAGGTCCATCAAAGAAGAGAGATTTCTCCTTCAGCAGACTTCAATTTCACAAATTCAGTTCTAGACAGACTGGTACTGAACAGGGAACTTAGGATTAATATATTCATTAACCACCTACCATTTCAATTTGCTTACTTCTTAGAGTCAGAGCTCATGTGCTTTCAATGTACGCAGTCATCACAGGCTTCCCAATACAAAACTGCTTCATCTGTACAAAACAGGTGCTAAAATTCAAATTTCAAAGATCTGGTACTTTATGCACACTGCCCATGCAAGGCCAAAGCTCTCTTGAAAGCAAGTGGAAAATTGCTGCTGCCTGGGCACTACCACCACAGGCTTTTAACCCGCTGCACTTCTGCAAATTATGTCAAAACACAGCGGCTGTGCAATCCCTGGAGAGAGCATCAGGACACTGATGGGAACTACTGTGGAGCTGCTAAAGGAGGAAAGATGCTTCGTTGGTGCTTCAGTAAGTGCGTAAGTCCAGAATTTTAAGTAACGCCTTTTCAGCTTTAGTCAATCTTTTCCTATCAACATAAACCCAGAAATTCAAGACACAAGATGACCTTTAAAGCATGTAGGAGGGGAGGGGATAAAAGATGCTTGGGTGCTGTTCGAAACAGCTCAGGGCACAGTTCTTTCTGGAAGAGATTTGAAGGATAGATTGTTCTTTGCACTTGACTTTACTTGGAGATAGCAGTTTCTGTTCTGTGGACACTGTTCTCCAAAAAAGGCATCTTACTCCCAAAGAGCTGGGGTGGCCTAAAAGCAGGTGTCTGGAATCAACTTGCTTCAAGAACTCAAATGAACAACTTCTAGCCAGCTGGTAAAAGACTTTTTTTGGTCTCGTTACACACTTTGGTAAAGTGGGCTACCTTTCAGTGGATATCCTCCCAAGTAACACTGACCAGTCAGCAAAAGCCTCAAGCCTTTCTCCACACCATTCTCCCCTGACACAACACACCAGCCTTGTGGAATGGCAGGAGCCCGCTCACATACAAGGTGAGCCTTGAGCCCTGTCATCGGCTGCTCCAGCAGAAGGTGCTTTGAGGGCTCCCTTTGAAGCTTCAACATCAGGATTTGGCTTCTCTAAATTGCCCATAAGACAGGAAGAAGAAAAGAAGCCAGTCTCTCCAGACGGGCCTGAGTCCTGCCGTGGGTTAGTCTGGAACCTCGCTGTGTGCCGAGGCTGCTGTGGGAGCAGAGCACCAAGAGGCAGCAGGAAGGATGCGACAAGTATCGGCTTGTAAAAATCATATTCAACGTGGGCCAGGCTCTTGGCGATCAGCTGAGTGTTCACCTTCTCCTGTCGCAGGACGATCTGCATGCGAGGCTTCAGGTACAAGATACTGCAGTAAGCGTTGGAGAGGGGACAACACACAGAACAAGGAGAATTCTAGTTACGTGTAGAGTCTTTTTCCAGGTGAACCTCAAACCTAGTTGGGATTTAACGCCTTTCATCCCCTGCAAGTCACACACAGAAGCAAACTGGGGCAGGGCCATCCTGCACCCTTTCAGCTCTCATCAACTTACCCGTAATGAGTATTCAGCTTCCGGGCAAGGAATCTCCCTGTTGTCCGCAGGGAAGTTTGCTATTCAAATGTCATGCTCGTCCGTATCAAAATCCAGCTCTGGCTTTCTATCTTCATTTCTGAAAAAAACACCAAACACAAAAATAAAAGGCAGTCTCATGGCTCCAGGCTGCTCCTCTGTACCAGGATCCCAAAGGAACTCCCTGAGGAGCAGGTAAACCAGTGCATTTCACACGTCTCAGGGATCTTACTAATCATGTAACTGCAGGTATTTCTGTGCAGAACCCACTAATACAGAGAGAAGAGGTAAAAATCCCTGGGTTTGTTCCTCCAGTGGGCTTAGACCACCCAGGCTGGGTGCTGACCCAAAGCTATCTCTGCTTTTAGCTCTTCCCCATCTTCAGGGCACCACTGCATCACCCCACACTGCAGCCTCCTACCTGTGAATGTTCCAGATGAGGATGTGTGTCCCCTTTTTGCCCGGAATGGCATCAAACTGGGCCAGCAGCTCCTCTCTGGTGTTGAAGAGGGTGTGCTCCAGGATGGCCTCCAGGCTAGACACAGAGTCTTCAGGAACAATCAGCTCCTCTAGAAGCCACAGAGTCAAGGAGAACAAGGTTGGCCCAGTCCACCTCCCTCTCTTTTGCCATGAGTGTGCAAAAAAGTCAGCAAAGAGCCGACCACAGGCCTGACGCTTCAGAGAACTGTGACACAGGAGAGACTGAGTACGGCCTCAGGAAAAAAACAAACAAACAAACAAAAAACATCCATAAAAACCCCACCTACACAAGCCAGGACAGTTATGACAGTAGGATGCTTTGAAGAAATAACACTTAAAAATATCAAGCTAAGTGGGAGGCAGCTGATAATGTAGAGGCGGTGCCAGGGAGCTGTATATTTTCAACTCCTTTTGGTGTGAAGGAAACGTAGCCTGGAGGAATCCCAGCATGCGCAGGCAGCAGGAAAGGCTATTACAGGTGCAAAAAAGCTATCAGGGACGATACTGTTTTGCTGGTTGAACGTCACCAGTGGGGTGATCACTGTCTCAGCACAGTCTGGGAAAGCAGCCCCACACTGAGAGCCCCTCCGGTCTTGGTGAAGACGACGGCGTCCTTCCCCAGCCGCATGGAGCCGGACTTGAAGCCGGACAACCCGCCAGGTGGGCCGTCTCTCTTTGCAGCCTTCTCCGTGAAACCACAGCTGAAAGCAAAGTGGAAAGGGGCTGAAAGCAAAGTGGAAAGGGGCTGAAAACAAAGTGGAAAGGGGCTGAAAACAAAGTGCAAAGGGGCTGAAAGCAAAGTGCAAAGGGGCTGAAAACAAAGTGCAAAGGGGCTGAAAACAAAGTGCAAAGGGGCTGAAAACAGGGAGCGCCTGCCTCGCTCCAGGCACAGGCCCACGTCACTGCTTCTTAGCTTTTGCAGGGAGAGTTCAACAGGGAAGACTTGGGATGGCTGCAGTGCTGGTAAAGAAGGCAAATCCTGCCAGTCCTACACTGCTCACCACTGAAGAACCACAGATGTGGTCAGGAATCATTATTCACAAGGAGGATTTCCTTAGAACCCAGGAAAAAGGGCTTCAAGGGCTTCCACAATGTTTTTTTTTACATTACAGACAGGCAAAATCAAGAAGCGGAGGAGCAAGGCAACCTGTTTGCAGCACTGTTTGCACACCCAGAGAAACCTCCTGTGTCTTTTGCTCAGAATTCTGCAGTAAGGTCCCCTCTGGGATGGTTTGTACCAGCTACAGAATGGCTCCCCTCCACTGCACACCATGAGAGGGCAGGAAGCTGAAATGGCCTCTGTTTTTTTATTTCCTGGCCACCACTCACTTCCCTGACATGCTGTGGTTATGCACCTTCTGCATTCAAAGAAAGGATTTGCCCTGCTCTACTCCCTCACGTTTTGCTTATTTTGAACAGAATAATGGTCAGGCAGAAACAAAACCATGTCCCAGCCCCTTCACACCTGTGGATAAGTTATAGTAAAAGAGAGGGAGTTTGGAGTCAAAAGACTCCTTCTTCCAACCTTAAAAGTCTCTGGTCCAAGAGGCAACCAGAGGAGCATCAAGAAGACAGAACCACTTTGTCAAAAAACAACTCATCCCGCCAAAGGGCTTTCTATGTTTGGGCTCAGAATGCCCAGGTGGAGTTATACCCTCTCTGTAAGGCTCACATCCCCGGTTCCTCAAGTAAAAGCTTAAGATCTGTTTTCATTGCAGTTAGCTACGTAATTAAAAGACAAGCCCTACTGAACTGAAATTCCTTATCACACAATATCACTCTTCAAATCTCTTGCCATCAGCCTGCCTCATCCTCTCCTGCTGCTATAAAAAGTTTCTCACATGGAAAGATTAACTTAATATAAATACATCCTCTAAAGCTATGACTCATTTCTGCACCCACAGCGCATGACAGACAAGAGGGAAAACTCCTCTATAACATGAGTCTACAGAAAAGGATGACTGGTTTGACTTCAGGCAGAGATTTTTAGTTTTATACAGACATTCTCCATGTCCCAGCACAAAAGCATCTCCTCCGCTTACCAGGCAGTTTGCACACCAAGGAGCCAAATGGCTTAGGTGAAGCTGGTTAATGACAAGCAAAAAGTTTGCTGAGTCCCCACCCCACCCATCACGCATTGAGGCAGACTGTGTATGTGTATAAGACAGTTATTTTCATAGAATCGTACTTGGAAGGTAAGGAAGAAGCAGGGTGAGGTGCATACATTAACACTGGGTGCTTACTAGAGGAAGCCAAAGGCCGCTGGCAACGCTCACAGGAGAATCCAGCCCAGCAGCTGGATGTGGGAGGGCTCGTAGCTCATAACCTGAGCATGTGGCCAAGTCTGTGAGGAGTCATTCCTATCCCGTCATCCATAAAAGTTAGACAAAGATAACCCTTGAGCTTCACAACATCGATGTAGAAAAGCTCAGCTGCCACGCTGCGATGGGAAGCGTTGTCTACGGAAAGAAGGAGCCTAGGCACTAAGGAGTAACGGAATTTCACCCTTGTTCCTTCCACACCCTCTTTGTCCTCAGGTCAGTTCCAAGCAGTAAAAGCAGTTTCCCCAAAAGTCCACTCTTCCAAACAGGAGGTTGTGTCTGGGAAGGGAGGTGACATGCCAGCCAAACCTCTGGTGGCAGGGAAACCCCTTGCCAGCGGCGAGGCGTGGAGAGTCTGGTGGCACAAAGCACAGGGGGACACACCACGAGGTCAGCTGGACCCTGACGATGATAAGCCATCTCTGGAGACTTCCACAACCTGCCTGGACATGTTCCTCTGGGATCTCCTCAAGGTGACCCAGCTCTGGCAGGGAGGTCGGACCAGATGACCTTCAGAGGTCCCTTCCAACCCCAACATTCTGTGATTCTATGAACAGGGACAGCTGCCACCAGGGCTGTGCAAACCACAGACGACCATCGTGACTACTACGAAAATCTGACCTCTGCATCCTCAGTGCATCGTCAAATTACATAGAAGTCACTTAGTCAATCTGTGGTTTTGTTGGTTTTTTTTTGTAAAAAAAACCCAAAACACCACAGCTTGCATGACACCTCCAGCACCCAGCCAGCCTAGCTCCGGGCTGAGGCCAGCTCACAGCCCTTCTGTCGGGTCACTGCGAGCCCTGTGGGGGGCTCTGTCGGGGTTCCTGCTGCCCCCGGTGCTTACCGAGCAGCTCAGTCATGGCGCTGAAGGGCCGCGCGTAGGCCGCGGCGCAGGCCCGCAGGCACCCGGGGCTGACCTGCGGGTACAGCGCGCAG